AATGTGCTTTTCAGGACAAGACATATATCTGCTAACAACATGGACTGCCTGTGAAATATCTGGACGGGTGCATACCATTGCGTACATAAGGCTGCCAACTGCATTTGAATAGGGAACCCGCGCCATTTCTTCTTCCTCTTCAATTGATTGTGGTGCTGAGTAGCTGATAATCAAAAGTGATTAGCAAAGGGGGCACTAATTGGTTTCGCGTTATTCATGCCAAAATGCTCTAAGACCTTCTTAACATAGCTTTCTTGAGTCAAGACCAGTTTTCTCTGTCCACGATTACATTGGATATCCATGCCAAGAATTTTCTTCACTGCTCCCAAATCCTTCATTTCAAATTCACTACTAAGCTGCAATTTCAGAGAGTAAATTTCGGCCATATTCTTGGCGGCAATAAACATATCATCAACATACAACAATAGATAGATGTGAGTACAGTCGGCTGACTTCCAAAAATAAAAACAACTATCATAAGTACTCCTCAAATATCCATTACTCAACATTAAAGAGTCAAACCTCTTATACCCCTGTCTCGGAGACTGCTTCAATCCATATAAGGATTTTTTCAACAAACAGACATGGTCTTTCTTTTCTCTGATTTTAAAACCCTGGGGTTGCTTTATGTAAATATTCTCTTCAAGTTCCCTATGCAGAAAGACTGTCTAAACATCCATCTGTTCTAACTCTAAATCCTCAATGGAAACCAAAACAAGCAAAACACGAATAGAGCTATGTTTGACAACATGTGAGTAAACATCATTAAAAGCAATGCATTGCACCTGACTATAGCCCTTTGCAACCAACTGTACTTTATATCTTACTTTATCACCTCCTGGAATGCATTTCTTTTTCTTGAATACCCATTTGCTTCCAATAATTTTCTTATCTGACGGTGGTTTAACAAGAACTCAAGTATTATTCTTGTGGAGAGACTCAATTTCTTCATTCATTGCCGCTATCCACTTAACAAAATCATTACGCTAAATTGCGTCTGAATATGTAGATGGCTCACTATCTCCATCTATTTTTTCTGCAACAGACAATGCATATGCGACAAATTCTGTATAGCGTTGTGGAGGTCGAGTGTCTTTGCTCTGTCTCCCAATGGCTATGGAATATGGCTCTTCTTCTGAACTTTCAATATTAACTGATATCTGCTGAATAGAAGAGTCTGTTTGAGGGTTACTAGAACTACCAATTTCAAACTCCACTTGCTTTTGTGTATTCTCACTTGAACTCAAAGACTTATACTTAGAAAATATAGCCATTTCATCAAAGGTAACATCTCTAATGATTGCAAATTTTGAATATTGGGATCAAGACACCATAATCTATATCCTTTCACTCCAAAGGCATAACCAAGGAAAATGCATCTCTTAGCCCTAGGCTCCAATTTTCCTTTGTTTACATACATATATGTTGAACACCAAAAATCTTTAAATTATAATAATTAACATGAATACTTGACCAAACTTCTTCAGGAGTTTTGAAATTGATAGCAAAATTTGGAGAGCGATTGACAATGTAGGCAGCCATGTTGATTGCTTCAGCCCAAAAATCTTTAATCAATCCTGCATTGGAGATCATACATCTTGCCATTTCCAAGAGCGTTCTGTTCATACATTCAGTCACGCTATTATGTTGAGGTGTCATCCTGACTGTGCGATGCCGAACGAATCCTTATTTTTTGCAAAACTCAAAGAACTCCCCTCCGCAAAATTTCAAGCCGTTATCGGTTCTCAACCGTTTGAATTGTTTTCCTGTTTGCTTTTCAATCAAAACTTTCCACTAAAGTTAGAAAAACATCATTTTTCTTATTCTTCAAAAAATATACCCAAATCTTTATAGAGTAGTCAAGTATACCTTTCTGCTTCCCGAATACGCAATGCTCACAGAACTCCAATGATCCAGTACCAAAGAAGTCATCTCCTGCTTAAGATTCCCAAGCCTTTTTCATTCATATGCCCCAAACGCATATGCCATAACTTGGTGATGTCAGATTCAGGCAAATAGGATGATGAAACAGTTGCATGCCTAGTAACAGTCATCCCTTGCAAAGTATACAAGCTGCCAGATCGGATACCCTTTCATAATCATAAGACCACATTTGAAAATCTTCAGAACACCATTTTGACTCGTGTTCCTGCAATCAAGTGCCTCAAGTGTCCCCAAAGAGATTAGATTCTTTTTCAAATTAGGGACATGCCTAACATTAGTAAGTGTCCTCATAATACCATCATGCATCTTGATAAGAACAGTGCCCTTAACCACAACATTGCAAACAACGTTGTTGCCCATTTAGACAGTTCCTCTGTTGCTTGAATCATAAGTAGCAAACAAATTTGTATTGGGACACATATGATAAGAGCATCCTGTATCCAAAATCCACTCATCTGTAGATCTCACCCTATCATGAGTGACAAGAAAAACACTACCCTCACTATCATCAACAACACTAGCTTCAGCAATGTTATATTTCTTTTCAACCGATTTTCCCTTTTGCTTATTTTTCAATTTAAAGCAATCAACTTAAATGTGCCCCATCTTATGACAATAGTTACACTTCATATTTCAGTGTCTAGACTTCGATCTAGATTTACTATTGTCATAGTTTCTCTTATCCGATCTCCCTCTAGCGACTAGGCTCTCAGCATTAACCCCAATATTTTCTCCAATGATATCTCTATCTATATTGCTCCTTAGATTTCAAGGCAGACTTGATTTCTTGATAAGAGATAAATTTTTTTCCATAAATCATAGTATCATGAAAATTCTTAAGATTGGGGTAATGAGTACAAAAGTAGCAATGCCTTATCCTCATCATCTATCTTAACATCGATATTTTCCAAATCCATAATAATCGAATCAAAATTATCAAAATGGGAGAGTAATGATGTACCTTCCGCCTTTCAAAGCATATAAAGACTTTGCTTTAGGTACAGACGATTCTCAATAGGTTTCTTCATGTACAAAGCCTTAAGTTTATCCCATATTGCCTTAGCCAAAGTTTCCATAGCAACCTCCCGCAAAACCTCATTAGAGAGATTTAACATAACGCTCGAAATGGGCCTTCTTATCCAGCTCAAAAAATTTGGACTTCTCCATATCCTTGTGCATTTTTTCAATACCCTAGATAGCTAAATCAACTTCACCTTGGACAAAAATGGCCTCCATCTTGAGTTGCCACATCACAAAATTGATATTTCTGTCAAACTTCTCCACTACCGTCCTTGTGATTGTCATTGTGTGGTAACAAAAGATTCCGAAAAATATAACAAGGGTTCTGATACCAATTGTTAGGAATATAGCCCTAAACAAATATTTGCAAAGCCTTAACAATGACAAAGACAAGTACGAAAAATTTCAACGACACAAGAATATATGTGGTTCGGTCAAGATGACTTACATCCACGGGAAAAGGCGGAGCAAACTTTCACTATCAAGAGAGAATACAAAATAGGCTCGAATAACAATTCTAAAGCCTACAACTCTCGATCTTCCAAAACACCCTTAAGGCAAAACAAGTAACCTACAAATATATAAAAAGACTACTTGTCTAATTTTTGGTTTGTCTAAAATCCAACCCAAGATTACCAATTTATAGGGAAGAATTATGGCTAATTTGTCACCACAAATAATGTGGGACAATGATTTCCTTAAAGCAATTCAATGTAGGATAAAGCCACATAACAAATAAGAAACAATTTACCGAAAATAAAAAGGAGAAGAGTTTAGTCTTTTACCACAGATCAAGTTCTACCAAATTTGAATAAAAAAATTCATTCAATTTTGTAATTGGTTGATCACCCAGAGTTCTAATTACATTTTCGTGAATTTATATTTCGGATCAATGAACTTTATTTGAATAATACCTTGTAAAAAAAATACAAAATATTAACGAAAGCAAAATTCGAATAAAACTCATATTATTATAACGGAAACAAAATGAAACCAAGTAATAAGAAAATGCATAAATCTATTAAAAACGAAATTAAACAAACAAAGCTTTGGCAAAAACAACTGAAAACACAATTACCAAAATTTTTTTGGGGAGAAATTGAAATGAAATTAAGGTAAAGCACTTCTTGATTTTTGAATGCATGCCCATAACAGGAAACAGATTTTATGTTTCTATAATTCGAGGCCGACGACGACCGACTTAGACATCCGATTCAACGACGGACCCAGAGACGACTCCATCAGCGATCGATGATTAGCTCCTAGCAGTTGGTCAACGATTGTCTTCTCCGAACAGCAAACGACAGCGGCTTCTGGTGGTGTTGAACTCCTCCTTCGACGATTCCGATCACCTTTGAACGACGACTTCTCTGATCTTCCACCTCTCTCACTCTCTATCGATCGGTTATGTTGTTATGTTGTGTGCTAAAATCAACTGTTGTGTGTGTTGTATGAGACTATAACATGTGTTGTATTTGTATTATATTAACACATACAATGTGTGTTGTAGTAATACCGTATGTTGTTTGCACGATGTTGAATTTTAAAATTCAACACCGTAACTGCCGTTATATATAATAATGTTACTTATTAAAAGTAATTATTTTATGAAATAAAAGACAATAAAATAATAATTTATGGAAATATTGCGGGAATTTGCATACTTCTTCTGTATATTTGAAAGTTGACCTAAAATTATATGATATTATGGTAGGTGTCCTCACAAATCTGGTTGAACATTAAAGAACAAAAGCATCAACAATAGTAAAAATTTGTCAAAAACGGAAAAAACAAAACAAAAAAAAAGTCAATTTACTTTACTTGCCGTAGATTTGGTTCACACATACGGTATGCCAATTTTTTTTTTTAAAAAAATTATTATTATTATTATTATTATTATTATTATTATTATTTTGTGATTTTTATTTCCAAGATATTTTTATTCGTCTTCTTGTTTATAACAATGTGTCGCATATTCTAGCTCCAACACCGTCTTCATCGTCTTCTTTTTGTATGAAAAAAACCCTAATTCTCAAACCATCAATGGATTCTCTAATAAAGAAACCAAAGCTCTCTTGCACAAAATTGAATGTTGATTCCATCAATCCGTTCTCTAAGTTGCCCCATGAAACAATCGTGGAAATTCTCTCCAGGCTCCCAGTCAAATCTCTAATTCAGTTCACATTTACTTGTAAAACCCTACACCCCCTTTCCACCGATCCCCTCCTCATCAAGCTACATCTCTCTCGATCCGACAGCTCCTATCTCATCATCCATTCCAAGAATCCTCTCAAAACTTACCTCTATTTCCTCCACTTTTCCGACCAAAAAATCTACAAATTTGAGACCCCATTTGCCTCATCCATGTCGGAATTTAGCATTTTAGGTTCATCCAATGGTTTACTTTGTCTCATCGATTCCTTGTTCAATAGGTACATTTATCTCTACAATCCCTTCACAAGGGACTACTTTAAAATTCCAACTAAACATGATTCTTGTGGCCAAATTGTATTCCATGGATTTGGATTTGATCCTGTTGGCTGCGACTATAAAGTTGTCAAGATCGCATATTGTCAGGATGAGTATACTTATCATTATACTAAGGAATATCGAGGGCTCATAGGGCCGCTACCATCCTTTGTTGAGGTTTACAGTAAACGTAGCAACAATTGGACAAGAAAAGGAATTATTCCTTACACATTAGAGATATGGTCATCTCCGGGAGTCTTAGTGAGCAACAAGCTTCATTGGGTGACCGTATGGGTGAAGAAGCCCAACTGGAACCACCACAAGCGCTTGATTGTGTCATACAACTTGACTGATGACACAATCAATGAACTTGTTTGTCCATGTTCTGATTTTAATTGTATTTTATTTGGAAAATGGGTTTGCAATTATTTGGGGGTATTGGACAAATGCCTTTGTATATCGGTGCCAATGCGAGAGGATGGAGCATTCGATGTATGGGTTATGAGAGATTATGGTGTGGATGAGTCATGGGTGAAGGAGTACTCCATATGTATTCACTTTCCGGGGTCATTGATAAGCCAATCGGAGCGATCATACAATATTTGGTTGAATAGATTTGGAAAGAAAAGAATGAAGGTGTTGTGTGTCTTGGAAAATGGAGAAGTTCTTTTGGAGTACATAGGACATTTAGTTGCATATGATCCTTATAGTAAAACATTCAAGGAATTGAAGTATAAGGGAATGCCGAGATTTTATCAGGCTACATTTCACAACGGTAGTCTCGTGTCTCCACATTTGGTATATTCTATGCTCAATACTCCATATTTAGTATATTATACAATTGATTTATTTCTTTATATTAGGATGGAATGATAAATTAAAAAGACATAAATAGTTGTCGCAACATTACTTCTTTTGCAATAGAATTTTAAACTTAGTAGATACACAACATCATTTCACTATTCAAACATAGGATATATGATTGTAACCACCTTCGCTTGTAATAGTTTTCTTCATTGGAAAGGTATAGAAAGACTTATGTTCTCTTGCAAGTGATAGAGTGAAATGTAACAATGTAACATGTTTACAATTTTTGAAGGGGTGAATTGGATACAAATACCAATTAAACAGAGTATGAGATTGCCTAGCATTATAGCAGTGGATTAAAGGTACGTTCTAATTGTAGACAAATTTTTCAAATCAACATGTGTACCAATTTTATTATTAAGTCAATATGTTTAATATGTTTAATTATTATGTTTTTATTAGTGTATTTTCAAAAAACAACATATGCATTACTTACAGAAGTAATATCATCAATATTTTTAGTTTATTATTGCCATTTTTTTTTTCAAAATTCTAACATCTTGAGTTCAAATTATTTATTATCTTACTTGTCTCACTTTAATATAGTAAATATATAAGATTAATTATGTGAATTTATTTACTCTTTGTAAAAGTAAATTATGAAATGGGTTTTTATTTTGAAGGAATAACTTTTTAGATTCATTCTTATTATGCTACAAACATACAATCCAAATGAATAATGCAATGACTACAACATTACAATTTTGATGTTCTAACAACAATTTCCAAATAGCTCCAAAGTGGCATGTTTTAGTTCAAGGAAGAATCATTAATAAAAACATAAGTAGAAAGAGCGATTAGTATAAAGTAATTAGATTATAGACACATGGCTCCCAATTCACAACAATGGCTGGTGACAGGGGCATCACTAGCTCATAATGATTTAGTTACAATTCGTAGATCTACATGCCATTAAGGTCATATACTAAAAACCCAAGGAATCCTTGCTTAAATCTCTAGTGTGACTACATCATATCGATGTATGAGTTATGAGAGGGTATAGGGTGGACGAGTCATGGGTGAAGGAGTACTCCCTGTGTATTCACTTTTTGGGGTCATTGATAAGCTAGTGGAGTGATCACATTAGATTTGGTGAAATATATTTGTAAAGAAAAAGAGTCAAGGTGTTGTGTTTTCGAGAGTGAAGAAGTTCTTTTAGAGTATATAGGTTAACATTTGATTGCATATGATCCTCATAGTAAATAACTCAAGGAATTGAAAAATAAAGGAATGCAGGCAATGTTTCACATTGGTAGTCTTGTGTCTCCATATTTGGCATATTCTATGTTCAATGCTCCACATTTGGTGAATTCTACTTTTTTTTACTTGTTTTATATTAGGATGAAATTATAAATCAATAAGAAATAAATAGTTGTAATAACATTACTTATTTTGCAATAGAAATTCAACTTTAGTAGATACACAACATCATTTTATTATGCAAACATAAAATGTGATTGTAACCACCTTTTATAAGGTTTGCTTTATTTGAAAATTATAGAAAAACCAATATTTTCTTGCAAGTGATAGAATGAAATGTAATAATATAACATGTTTGCAATTTGTGCAGGGGTGAATTAGGTGCGAATACCAATGAAGCAGAGTATAAGATAGCCTAGCATTGTTGCAGTGGATCAAATGTACTTTGTGATTATAGGCAGACTATGCAAATCAACATGTGAACCCGTTTTCAGATTATTACAAAGCCAATATGTTTAACTATTATATTAGTATTAGCGTAATCTCAAAAACCAACATATGCATTGCTTGCATATGTAATATCATCAATGCTTTTAGTTTATCATTGTTATTTATTTATTTTCAAAATTTTAACATTATGAGTTCAAATTGTCTATTATCTTACTTGCCTCAGTTTAATATAGCACACACACATATATATATATATATGTAAGATTGATTATGCGGAAGTTATTTATTCAAAAATATAACTATGAGATTACATTTGAATGGTTTATGAGATTATTATTGGGCTAACTACTAACCTATTCAAGATTTTTATATATAAATTTATATTGTGTTTGTTCATTTAAACAAATGAATTGAAAATATTGATATAGCAAGGCCGTCAAGCAAATTTGTCACATTACAATTTTGATGCTCTAACAAGAATTGTCCAAATAGCTCTAAAATACCAATTTTCAGCTCAAAGCAAAATCATAAATAAAACATAACTAGGAAGGACGATTAGTATAATTAATTTGATCATAGGCACCAGGCTCCCAAATCACAACCATGGCTGGTGACAGGGACATCGTTAGTTCATAATAAGTTATTCACAATTCCTATATCGTAATGCCATTAAGACCAAGTAAAACATACCTAACGAGCTATTCCTTAAATTTCCACTGGGATCACATCCATGCCATCACTAACGTACCCTTGTATATACTCTCTTATTCATTCTTTCATGTAATTCAAAAGCTAAAGCACATCGTATGCATTGGTCGCAAATGCCGATAATAAGTAAGAAAGTCAGAAACTTATTATTATTATTATTATTATGATAAATTATTTTTTTAGTCTCGTAACTGAAATGTGACGCAGATGCCACATAGACATCGATGACTTAATGTGCAAAAAAATTTCCACTTACGAGACTATTTTAAGACAACCTCCAGTTACACGACTAAAATGATAAAGAAGTTCAATTACGAGACTAAAAAATCAGTTTACCATTATTATTATTATTATTATAATTATATGTATAATTTGGTGGTGATTTCCACAATTTTTTCAAAGGAGAAAATTTCTTTGATATAGGGTCCCACTCCACGTTTCTTTTATATATATACATGCTATTTTATAATACGGGATGTTAAATAATCAAATTACAATGATGTTAATATTGACTTTAGTTAAAGGGTTACAATGAAAAAGGGTGTCACATACCAGACTAGGAAAAACATTTATCGTATATTTAACCTACAAATTAATTTCAAAATTACATCAAGTAAGCGTCATTTACCATAAAATTATCAAACTAAATAAAAAAAAATTACCGTTGAAATTTGTTATATCTTACTTATATTAAGTAGGCATTATATATAATTACGATAATTAATATTACTATTTTCATGTTACTTAATATGCACTGCCTAACGTAAATATGGCATCCACATGCCAGATAGATATACGACATTTAAAATTATTTTGAGATAAGGTTACATCATTCATATAGGTATTGACCTAGATTGTACTGCATGTGCAAAATAGTCCATTAAGGGCCTCTCTACCTATATGTTGAAACTGGTAAAAAATTCATCCGATGGGTCTTTGGGCTGTAGATTGCTTCTGGCCCAGTTCTTGAGCTTTCTTTTATTGGGCTTTGCCTTCTACTACCTGTATATACAGGGTTGGCAAACGGATCAGGTCGGGTCGAGTTCAGGTTCGGGTCAGCTTAAATGAGTTACAAAACCCTTGACCTGAACCTGACCCATTTAATTAAATGGATTAATATTTGCAACCTTAACCCGAATCTGACTCATATAACCCGTTTAAATTTAAAATATTTAAATTTTAATTTAAAATTACAATTTATACTAACAAAATTTTTAAATGCATAGTATATATACATATTAAAACAAAAAATTATTTATTCATATCATGAAACCGATATTCAAGAATTGAATTAACAAACACTACGATGATAGTACACAACACAATCCTTTATTTTTTATTGTTTATTTTTATAAAATTGGCCATAAATATTGAATTGTATTGGTAAAATTTAAAAAATATATTTAAATTTAAAATTATATTAATTAAACAGGTTAGACGAGTTATTTTCAGGTCGAAAATGTAGACCTTAACCTGACCCATTTAATTAAATGGGTTAAACGAGAATCTCAATCCAAACCCAACTATTTCAGGTCAGATTTGGATCGGGTTATCAGGTCCTGTTAATTTTTGCCAGACCTACCTATATATATATATATTGATTTCGGGTTCTTTCTCTTGTCAATTGGACGAATTCACGCCACTCACTCCATCTCTCTCGCTTCTTTTTTGGGTTTCATTCCAAAATTCCTTCACCCTCATCAATTTCTTTATCGCAATCTATCATATTCTTCATTTTATTCTTTTCCATTACATCATATCTTCCATGGCTTATGTTCTCTGAGAAATATTCTATTACTTGCTGAACTTTGGTGGTAGAGACCAGTGGTGCAAGATTTACGAAAGAGCAGTGCTATTTGTTATTTGAGGCTTCCTGGGAATGACCATGGTTATTGTAGACAAAAAAATTGTGTTATATTTTTATAAACACAAAATTTGTACAAATTATATTTGTGTTTAAATTTAATGCGGGTCCTATTCTTTATTCGGATCCTTTGATTCTCTCTCCGGGTCGATCCATTTTTCCAATTTGGATTTGGGTGGCTTCTTTGATCCGAAGGGATTTTGGTCTTCGGTTTGACTTCGCCGGCTTTTGAAGGACTTTGGTATCCATGTTGGCGATTTTGATCGTCGGCTTTGGATTGATGCCTCCTTTGGATGATCCGACGGGATTTGATCTTTGAGGGAGAGATTTGGTGCTCCATAACGCTTTTGGCGGCGTGTCCCTTTGACTTTTGGATCGAAGAGGGCCTGGTTTGCGCCTTTTATGAAGAACGCGACGAACATCTTCAAGCTTTGGGAGCGGCTTTGGAGGCTCTTCCTTGGATTTGATGGATTCCTCGATAGCTTTGAGAGATTTGATCCTTCCTCCGGCTCGGACATACGACGAAGAACGTTAACTTCATCGATTTGTCAACCAATATTGGATCATTTGTCCAAATCGATGACCTTTCGACGAAGAACGCTTCGAAGGACACGAAGAACAATGAAGAACATTGCAAAGAGTCTAGAGAGACTTACCCTTGCGCGAGTCTTCAAATGAACTTCGGTGTCTAAATGAATTGGCCAAGGCTCCTATTTATAGGGGAGGGTGGCCTTGGCTTCCTTTTCGGATGGTGCCACGTGGATGGAAAGATTTTATAATCTTTCCTTTTCCCTCGGATGCCGTTTTCCATTTTTGACGGATTTGATTATGCACCTTCCTTTCTCGTCAAAATCTTTATATCATTGCCTTTTTTGGAAGATATTAATTTATATACTTCCTTTATTGACAAGATCTTTATATCATTGCCTTGTTTGGAAGATATTAATTTATATACTTCCTTTATTGACAAGATTAATTTATTTTGCTGCCAAATTTATTATGGCTCTATTTATGCACGTAATATTTGTACGATATCTTCCATTTTAAGCAGATTTTGCATTAATGGTTGATATTTATTGTACAAAAATTAACATATGTGCATAATTAAATACCATATATTTATTTTATTGGAATTTTATTTTCTTCCAAAATACATGATATTTAATTGATTTTAGACATATATTTTTAGTGTCTACAAAATGCCCCCTCGAGACTTCTTTAAGCCGACACAAAATATTTAAGGCGTGAACGAGTCTCGAAACATAGAAAAAGAATTTTTTTTTTTTTTTTTTTTTTTTAAATGGCCCTTTTTTATTTTGCCATTCTTTTTTTTTTTGGTTTTGCATTTTTTTTGTAAATGGCGTTTTTGCCATTTTTTTTTATGCAAGTTTTTTTTTTTTTTTTTTTTTTTTTTTTTTTTTTGCAAAATTCTTTTTTTTTCTCTTTTTTTTTTTTTTGCAAAATTGACATTTTTTTGGTTTTTGCAAAATTCTCATTTTTTTTTTTTTTTTTTTTTTTTTTTTAAATGGCGTTTTTGCCAAAAAATTTTTATATATATATATATACACATATCATGTATATATATATTCTTTCCTTTATTCTTTGTTTTTATTTTTATCTTCCTTCCTTTTTTTTTTATTTCCTTATCTTCTTCCTTCCCTTATATATGTCTTTCCATATCTCAATTTTTTTTAGACACTATATAAACCCCTCACCATGAGAGAACTTTATCATTCTCAACTTCTCACAATTTTGATTTCTCTCATTCTAGGGTAGGCTTATTTCTCTTGTGTTGTTTTTTTTTTTTTTTTTTTTTTTTTTTTTTGATCTTTGCTTATATATATTTTTTTTTGTAGACGAGATGGCTTACTTCAAGGATGTCTCCTCCCCCTCTGGAAACGCCGAGTTGGTGATTTGCGAGTTTGAAGGTCAACCGCTGGACAAGGCGACTCGTCTATTGGTGCATCCACCACTCATAGGACGCGGAGCTGCTCGCCCTCGCTTGGAGGTCCCAAATTTTCCAAAGACGTGGTCTCGGAATGTTGCTGGCGGAAAGCATACTTTGCAATCCTCACTTCATCAACACGTGTCAAACGATGTTCTTCCACTTCCAACCTTAGGGCGGCGGATCATGGATGGGGCGTGCGTTTGGAATGGTCTTCCTTCTTTTGATGGCAACTTTTCGTACGTGGCCGGCTATTGGGAATGGGCGGAGGATGTGCTGGATCGATGCGAGATTCCACTAAAGAGAGGATGCATTTACGATGCGGTCTATGCTTCCTTGTTCTCCTACGACTATTCTCCGGAGATCGTCAAGGCCGTTTGCGAGGCGTGGTGTCCCAAAACCAACACCCTTTTGACTGCCGCCGGTGAAGTGTCGATCTCTCTCCGTGACTTGGCGTCCTTGGCGGGCCTCCCCATACTCGGCTCATTTTACGAAGAGGTGGTACCAAGCGCAAAGGAGCTATATGGCAGTAAAGAGGATAGGAAGCTGGTTCCCCGTTCGTGCCG